AATTTTGTAACTCAGTTTCACGTCTCAGAATTAATTTCTTGATATTTAAACGGAGCACAAGCGGATGATCCGAAGTGCAACCTACGCGAGGCACGCTCCAGCACCCTTGAAAGTAACGAATAGTTTGTTAGATGCAAAATTAGTTCGAAAGGACACAAGCCAAAAACAGCAGTCGATGGCATAAAATTGTTGAAATGGTGAGCGAAAAACCCGGACATTTGCCAAAACGGAAACTAGTCACTACTGCAATTGCAGAAGACTAAATTGGATATGAAATTAGAAACTCCGTGGCCGGTAACTGCATCAAGCCTGCACGTAAGACAGGTGTCTGTTAAAACCGGATGATCGCGAACCATGCCTTGGGGTATAGCTTAACAAAGGCCAGGAAGAAAGCTGCGGAAGAACACTCGTACAAATTCCCTTTAAATTTCAGGGTATTTAAGGAATGACACTCGGCAACATTTGCAATAAAAGCATTGACGACAAGAAATAACAAGACGCACCACCCCGAACGCTAGACTGACTGGCCTTCGAGCACTTAAACAAATCTGGGAATCAAGTTGGATCAAGATGGCTTACTTTTGAGCAGTCATTTTAGTCAGTTACGAGTCTTTTTCAATGCACTTCCCATATCATTCGGCATGGATTGCGGTGCAATCCGAACAATGGGTGTGACTCGTTAAACACTTCTACATGCCACCCGTCTTTAACCCTCCTTCTTAATGTCTGCTAGGTGCATGAATGCATGGCCTCCGTTTGACAGGGTCAGACCCTTATCCAAAACTGCCCTAAAAGTCCAAAGTCAAATGCTCTGCACTCTTGCCGACTGATCGAGTTTTTTCCCCATTTGCTGACTCTATCAGTCTTTGGGTATTTTAAGTATAATGCAGAAAGTCTAATTTATGCTTGGTGACAGTCAAAAAACACCACGCGGTACTTTCTAGATAGAGCGTTATAAAAGACTCTCGTGTCCTGTTGCTTCTAATGAAGGCGGGAAGAGAGTTCTGTTGCGATTAGAGTACGATCCTTAGTGTTCGTTATCATTAAATGCCTACCAAATTCTTCGCACTGCCCAATGATAAGTGAATACTCATCGGATCGAGTCGACTTTCATAATGCATGCCCGTGAGGACTGCAAATACATTCCAGTATAATATTTTCCAAATGTTTCTGTTTCGCTTGGCAAAACGTTCTAAAAATGCTGCGGTTGACTGATGTCTCTTTTCAACGCATACAGATACGTCTAACTGCTCATGCAAGCAGAATGAGAGTTCGTCTTCTGCGGAACCAGAAGAAGATCTCCGTACCGACCCCGTATTAAATTTAGTTGTTCCGCATACGTTAGTTAAATCAACATGAAAGTTTGTATTTTATTTTTGAAAGGATAAGTCTGAATTCCTTGAAGGCTTTCAGCACCTAGCAGAGGATGCATCAAGATCAAAAAGAATTTTCTTGACACTTTCCCATGAGTGCGTAACCTTTGGAGTCCTGCTTAATCCGGCTTACACGAGGGAAGGTCCTGCCTTTCAAGTCTTCTGTCCCTCTGAAAATCTTTGGCAGAAGGCCTGATCATCCCAAGGATTTTAAGAATCTCTTTCTCCATCCAGTTAAACTTTTCTTCGCTGATGTCATTGCTTTCTTGCTGGAAAACTTCCGTGATGCTACAATACGTGTGTATTAAGAATTCTATTGTTAATTTTCTAGGGGACATCACTTATGCGAATTGGATAGCTAGACCGTCGATCCTGACAATATCCACCGTGTCCTCCATCGCAGGAGAACGCAGGAACGGTGACATGCGCGTGAATTAGTTTATGGTAATAGTGAACTTGTGCTACATCTGAGGTACTCTCTCCTACATCACCCACCTAGCCCGGTGTCAAGAAGGAGTCAAGAAGACCGACAGCGTGACAGGGCTCAGGTGGCCGACGCGGAGTGGACTTGCAGCGTCCGTCAAAGATTTATTTTTTTGCGTACAGCGCATATGACAATACTGTCCACTTATTGCAAGTTGGGTGTTTTCCGATAAAACAGTGACTTTTGGTCGAAGAGGTGATAATACTCCTGAATTGATATCGTCAGGAAAGCCTAAATTGTCCGCACATTCGGGCGGGCTATGCAGGAGAAAAAACAGTCTTGTGGAAGAATGTGGTGAAATAGGACAGATTTAGTCTGAAGATGAATCGGAATATGAGTACAAAGCGTCATTATAGGTGCGCACTATGATGTTCGGTTGAGGCGGACCTGTGATGGGACCGAAAACTGGACACAGACCAGGACATCCTAGCGGCCAAAACGGAATCCTGATGAGGGTGGACAGCGAGTCAAATGGAACGATTTAGAACTTGTGAGCAACGAAACCCCCGACCATTTGCATGAGTGGTGGGTTTGTAAGGTCATCGAATTCCCTGATGGTCACGATGTATAGACTGAGAAAGTCGAAATTTTTTATTTGAGACCATGGTGGACGGAACCACATGCGGGAACAAAGCTGTGAATTTAACACATGCTTGTACTTCTCATCCTCGAACATTTCTGTTCCTTCTTTGGTCTAATGAATGACTGTGAACGCAGCAAAACTGTTATGACCTGCGAGTTCATACTTGAAGACAGTCACTTGTGTTAAATCCAGTTTTACTTGTCCTGAGAGATGGAGATTGGCAAAAGGTATGAGTCAGAAGACCCCAAGCTGTGCCTTCCTTCCTGTTTCGAATTGTTTATGGACTTAATTTTTCACCCGTTGGCATCCTCACTTCAGTGGATCGAGCATATTTTTCCTCTTAATTCCTCCTTTTTCGTCGTCTCTTTGTTCTTCTTCTATACGTTCACCTTTTCTCATCCAGATATACTCTCCTCTGGAATGACCTTTCACGTTTACTTGGGTCGTCCATTAGATTATCGGCATTCATTAAGAACTTACGTAGCCATCTTAAGTCGGAAGGTATGAGGTCATTATTGTCCGTTTTATTACCAAAAACGGAGACTCGCCACTTTGAAAATAGTCCGCCTTTGACTTAGAGGCTTGCCCTATATGCTTCACTAATTCAGCTGGAAATTTTCACATAAATCTGACGACTCCCTATATTCCTTATTTGTTGCCAAATTCACGGATATTTTTCCGTACAGAGGCAATCTACGCGACCTTTAATGTCTCCCTCGTTCCAAAATTAGGTTAACGGCTGACGATCGTGGTGGGCTTCTCTGATTCTCCACCTTGACAGTTGTTTTTGCAACCAACCTTAAAGTATTGTGATCGCTTCTGCTGCACTTAAGGGGTGCAAGGAGTCCTCTCCGGCTTGAAAATTCCCCTCGACGTGAACGTTTCGGACTCTCAAAAACGCTCATCAACAGGACAGTTCTGCCCACGCACATATTTCTCACTCAAGAGCGACAATTTTTCTTTTAAAAAAAAACCCCAAATCGCATTCATTTTGTCTCTTTTTAGACTAATTATCCTGGAAATTTTCGCCACGATTTCCTCAGCCTAATCTCTTGTTGCTTGCCCGTCATTTTAAGGACGCCAAAAATATGGGTCTAAGCCATCAGTCGTCACTATCACAATCTAAGATGTCTTTCGGTAGATTTTGAATAATTCGTTTTCACCCACCTATAAAAAACTTGAAGACCTCGTTGGGATTCGAACCAACAACAGCTATGGGAAGGCTTTGGTGTGTAGCAGCCTTTTCTCTGTCCCCTCGTTCTACTGTATACGCGCCACGGCTGCGCTCGCTAACCCTCGATTTGCACTCCCGTCCACGTCACACTCCTGGTCGATAATTTGCCACTACCTTCGCGTGGGCTCGGAGCCAATAAACGCAATTCCTATCGCTGATTGGTTACAAGTGCACACACGGGACGTCGCCCTTGCGGACGTGATTTTGAACAGACAGGACAGAGGCAAGTAGAACACAACACTTTTTTGGTGGTAGCGACACACTGAAGGCTCCGCAACTGACGCTCTCCAGAACGAACGTTTATCTCTGCCACAAGCATACAGCCAACTTACGGTGACCTGCCCTGTGTACAGAATAAACCCGTTCTCACAACTTCCTGGTTTCTCTCATTAGACGGAGCAAAATTATTGTATGTGGTTAAGTTGATCTCACGTCCTTTATCACTACAAATTGGTAACCTTGACTTCCCCGCACAGGACTTTGTCAGACCTTCCTTCAGTCACCTGTCTCTTTGTTCACCATGATGGGCGCACCCGCCACATCCGTGTCCCCTCCCTCCGCATCGCATGTCTCTGTTAAACGACTACCCTTCTGGCCGCGGAATTTGGAGCTTTGGATTGCACGTTGCGAGGCTGAATTCGAAGCCTGCAACATTACTCGCCAGGAGACCATGTTCAACCATCTGCAGCGCAGTTTCCCTGACGGATATGCCGAAGACCTTTGCGACCTCATCATTCAGCGTCCTTCGGAGCAGCCCTACGATAAACTGAAAGAGGCCCTAGTAAAGCGCGTGGCCATGACAGAGGAGCGCCGACTACGACAACTCCTCATTGGTGAAGAGCTTGGCGACCGAAAACCTTCTCAACTACTCCGGCGGATGCAGCAACTTGTTGGCGAGCGCAAATTCTAGACTTCCATTCTCCGTCAACTTTTCCTTTAGTGCCTCCCACTCGACGTTCAGTCAGTTTTGGCCGTCTCTCAGGGGCTCATCGAAGAATTGGCAGAGCTTGCCGACAAGGTCATGGCATTGAGAGTACCCGAAACTTCTGTAGTCAATCACGCCGCCAGCCCAATTTCCCAGGAATATGATCAGCGCATTGATCGACTCGAGCAGTTGGTTATGCAACTGACAAACCAACTCAGTGCAATTACCGCAGGTGGCCTGCGGCGATCGCGCAATCGACGGCGAAGTTCCTCACGTTCCCGTTACCGCCGCCAGCAGTCTCCAAGCGGCGTGTGCTGGTATAACCAGCAATTTGCAGAAGCGGCACGACGATGTCTGAAGCACTGTTCATTTATGCCACCTCTCAAGGCCTCGGGAAACGATACCGCCCGGCAGTAGAGGCGAGTGGTGCCGGGAGCGCTGCCAATGTTCACACTCGCCGTTTGTTTCTCTGGGACCGTATCACTGGCACCAAATTCCTTGTTGATTCTGGTGCCGGGGTTAGCGTGGTTCCACCAACTCCGGCCGAACGCAAAAACCGCAGCTCTTTTTGTCTAACAGCTGCCAACAACTCCAGCATCCCCACCTTTGGACAGCGCTCCGTCACACTCGACTTGGGCCTTCGTCGGATTTTTCGATGGGCTTTCATAATTGCCGACGTCTCTGTCGCCCTCATGGGCGCTGATTTCCTGACTCACTTCAATCTGCTAGACGACTTGAAGAACCACCGTCTCTTCGACAACCTCACTAACCTTCGTGCCCGTTGTCAGTCCGAAATTAACCCGCACCTCAACTCTCTTACTATTATGCCCATCTCCGACTGTCCTTTCCGCTCGCTCCTCAGGCAGTTTCCCCGCCAGACCAACCCCTCATTTTGAGCAGTGGACATCAAACACACCGTCACCCACCACATCTCCACCACTGGACCTCCCAAATCTTGCCGACCACGTCGTCTTGCTCCGGACCGTTTGAAGATTGCCAAGGCAGAGTTCGAACACATGCTTGAGCTCAGCATCATCCGACCGTCCGACTGTTGTCGGGCATCACCTCTCCATCTTGTCCCAAAGAAGAGCGGCGATTGGCGACCGTGTGATGACTATCGTGCGCTGAACTCAGTAACTATACCTGATCAGTATCCTATCCCGCACATCCAGGATTTTACGCTCTCACTTCATGGCAAGCGTGTATTCTCTAAAATTGATCTTGTTCGCGCTTATTACCAGATCCCAATCGAGGCCAGTGACGTACCGAAAACGGCGGTTACCACTCCCTTTGGTTTATTCGAATTCACTCGTATGTCCTTTGGTCTGAGGAATGCCACTCAAACTTTTCAACGGTTCATTGATCAAGTGTTGCGTGGTCTCGACTTCGTCTACGCTTACATCGACGATTTATTGGTGGCGAGTTCTGACTCCACAGAGCATGAGGCTCATCTCCGACAACTGGTCGAGCGCCTCGACTCCTACGGCGTTATAATCAATGCCGCCAAATGTGAGTCCGGAGTCCCCAGTTAAACTTTCTTGGGTCATGTAGTAGATTCTGAGGGAATCAAGCCTGTCCCTGTAGTGCCCAGTGGTGCCGCACTTGGCGCCTTTCTCTTTCTTGGCATAAGTGCTCAGTCATGGTGGTTGGCGACGACCGCCAACCTCAACTAAGTATTGAAGGTCACGCTATAAATGTGCCAGGGGATATAAAGGATTTGGACGTTTCATACTCCAAGAATCTCAATCTCTCGGAGCACTGTGCCTTGATAGTCTCCAAAGCACGTAGAACGACCGGGTTTATCCTCCGAAATTTTAAAACTAGGGACATTAGAATGCGCCTTTTCAACATGTACGTTAGACCTGGTCTGGAATATTGTTCGTTTTCACTTAGCCTCATGCGTGCTACTGAGCGGAAGAAAATAGAATCCGTTCAACACTTTTTTTACCAAGAGAATTTTAACCCCGAAACACCGACATTTGTCATACCAAGAACGTTGCCGGCTTACAGGCCTCGATCGTTTATGGTTCCGTAGATTACAAAAGGGACTATTTTTGCTATTTAAACTCTTATATAATCACACATTTAACCCACTCACCTCTTTAAGACATCATATCCACCCACGACGTAACAGTCACCGTGAGGTCTTTTTATTTCTGCCTCTGGCACGTACTGTTAAATATCGTCGGTTCTTTTCTGTAAATGTAATTGCTATTTGGAATAAACTACCCATGAGTGTGAAAACTCTGCAAAATTATCCTTTATTTAAGAGAACTATTACTCGATTTTTGCATTCAGAAAAGCTCCCACAAATTTTGGGTGCCGAAAACTCTGATCGACTGTACCGTAGCGATGGCGTTTGTGGTCTCTGAGCACTATGGCCGGTCTCACCAGCTGTTCCTCAACGCCTCTACTTTGGCTATCCCCAGCTTCATGAAAGGAATTTGACGTCCGATAATCTCCGATACCGTGCAACCTCCCCCCTTCTTGACGGTCGATATTCTACCACCGCCGGCAGTTTTTTCTCCTGAGCCCTCCAAACCATAAAAACCACCATCAACTATATTTTTATCCCTTTAGCTCAGGAGTTTTTTTCACTGCCGGTCGGATTTATGTTTAGTCGCTTCCCTTGACAATGCCTGTAAACTGGCATTAAATAAAAAAAATTTAAAAATTTAATTTAATTTATTTAAAGTTTCGGTCGTATCAGATTTCCCAGTCCCGAAAACCATCAATCAACTGCGCCGTTTCTTGGGGATGGTGAACTTCTACCGCCGCTTTCTCCCTCATGCCGTCGCCATTCTGCAGCCTCTCAACAATCTGCTGATCCAATCCAAAAAGACGTTGCTTATGACTGATGAGGCCGTCAACTCCTTCAATGAGGTCAAGAACTCTCCTGCTAATGCAACTCTACTTGCTCATCCTCGGCCAGATGCCCCCTAACTCTCATGACCGATGCTTCCCGCACTGCCGTTGGCGCATCCCTCCACCAAACTGTAAATGGTGTCCTTCAACCCCTGACTTTCTTTTCAAAGGAGCTCAGCCCAGCAGAGACCCGCTACAGTGTTTTTGGATGAGAACTCTTCGCCGTCTATCTAGCCATTCGGCATTTTCGACACTTTCTCGATGGTCGCGAATTCGTCGTACTTACAGACCACAAGCCTCTCGTTGGTGCTCTAAGGGCTTCTCCCGATCGATACTCACCCCGTGAGATTCGTCATCTCGACTTCATCTCACAGTTTTCCTGCGATATTCAACATGTCCACGGTAAGAAAAACGTGGTTGATGATGCTCATTCCAGAATTCAGGTGAACTCCGTCACGTCACATGCCATCGATTTCACGCTCATGGCTGACGCTCAACGCACCGATGATGATCTCTCTCACTATCGCCATACGGACTCTTCTCTTATTCTCCGAGATGTCCCCCTTCCCACTCAAGCTGTCACCATCACTTGTGACATTTCTACTGGCCACGACCGTCCCTTTGTCCCTGCCACTATGCGCCGACAAGTCTTCGATACCCTTCACGGCCTATCCCACCCTGGAGTCCGGGCGACAGTGAAACTTATCACTGACCGATTCGTCTGGCCCCACATCAACCGGGATGTCCGGCGTTGGGTCCGGTCCTGTTTACCCTGTCAGCGCGCCAAAATTCATCGTCATACTGTTACCTCGCCAGGTACATTCACCACTCCTGATGCCCGTTTCAGCCACGTCAACATTGACTTGGTAGGACCTCTCCCACCATCCAACGGTTCTACCTATCTCCTGACTTGCACTGACCGTTTCACTCGGTGGCTGGTTGCCGTACCCATCCCGGATACCTGTGCTGAAACCGTGGAAAAAGCTTTTCTGTTGCACTGGGTGTCTAATTTTGGAGTTCCTGCGACCGTCACTACTGACCATGGATCCCAATTCGAGTCCACGTTGTTTCGCGAACTCACTTCTCTCCTCGGCACTGAACGACTACGAAGACAGCATACCATCCTCAAGCAAATGGCCTCGTCGAACGTTTCCATCGACAGCTCAAAACTGTCCTCATGGCTCAATCCGATCCTTCTCGATGGACAGATAATCTTCCCTTGGTGATGTTGTCTCTTCGTTCCACTATCAAAGCCGACATCGGTTGCACAGCAGCTGACCTGGTTTATGGAACTTCATTACGCCTTGCCGGTGAGTTGGTATCTCCTTCAGAAAAGCCAACTTCTTTCGGGCCTTGCAGTTATGTGGACCGACTATGTGCTGCCATGCGCACTCTCCGCGCAACGCCCACTCGCGTTTCACCAACTCGTTCCTTCATTCCTCCTAACCTGGACACGTATGACTTCGTCCTGGTCCGGCATGACGCAGTCCGTCGACCATTGCAACCACCATAGGACGGGCCTTACAAAGTCCTTCGACGGTCTGACAAGCATTTTGTCAACGAGCGCAACGGAAAGACGGACACCGTCAGCATTGATCGTGTCAAACCTGCATTCCTCGGCGACTGTCAATCTACCTTACCCCAACCGTCTTCTCCGTCACAGGCGTTGACGCCCACGCCACCGTCTGACGCCATCCCCCCACCGATGCGCCGAACCCGATCCGGTCGTCATGTCCGCTGGCCCGACAGATTCGTGGCTGGCTAGCATATCGACCCCTACACTTCGTTTGGTGTCTGGGGGGGGGAGTTATAGTAGTCCTTTCTCTGTCTCCTCGTTCTACTGTATACGCGCCACGGCTGCGCTCGCTAACCCTCGATTTGCACTCCCGTCCACGTCACACTCCTGGTCGATAATTTGCCACTACCTTCGCGTGGGCTCGGAGCCAATAAACGCAATTCCTATCGCTGATTGGTTACAAGTGCACACACGGGACGCCGCCCTTGCTGCCATATACTAGTAGTCTAGTCGCATCTCCCTTACCCTATCCTCGGTTGGACTCGGATGAATGTAACCGACCGCATCTGGGTTCCTATCGCCTCTGGACTGATGCCCTCACTGAATGCGCTCCATCGACGCTCGTGGCGAAGCCTTCTATATTCGCCATATACTAGTAATCTGGTCGCATCTCCTTTGCCCTATCCTCGGATGGACTCTGATGAATGTAACAGACCGCATCTGGGTTCTTGTCGCCTCGAGACTGGTTGTCATCGTGCCCTTACAGAATGCGCTCAATCGGCGGTCTTGACAAAGCCTTCTATATTCGCCATATACTAGTAGTCTGGTCGCATCTCCCTTACCCCATGTTCGGATGGACTCGGTTGAATGAAACCGACCGCATCTTGGTTCCTATCGCCTCGGGACTGATCTTCATGATGCCCTCACTGAATGCGCTCCTTTGACGCTCTTGGCGAAGCCTTCTATATTCGCCATATACTAGTAATCTGGTCGCATCTCCTTTGCCCTATCCTCGGATGGACTCTGATCAATGTAATAGACCGCATCTGGGTTCTTGTCGCCTCGAGACTGGTTGTCATCGTGCCCTTACAGAATGCGCTCCATCGGCGGTCTTGACAAAGCCCTCTATATTCGCCATATACTAGTAGTCTGGTCGCATCTCCCTTCCCCCATGTTCGGATGGACTCGGTTGAATGAAACCGACCGCATCTGGGTTCCTATCAGCTCGAGACTGGTTTTCAATTTCGCCACTTATTTTTCTTATTCAAGGCGATACAGGCCAGTCCTGACCGACCCGCCTACGTACCATTTTATGAAATCCGTTACACAATGCCATATACAGCTGACATTTATTTCGGCCATGTTGATGTCGGACTATATTCCATTCTGTACCGCCACATGCAGGCCAGTCCTTCCTGTATTTTTCTGATGCTATTTTTCTGAGGGGTTTTTTTTTCTCCTGTTAAATTACTACAATCATTTTTAAATTTTGCTTTGGAGTTTTTTTTTCACCCCTCGGTTTTTTTCATTTTCATTTTGCTTAACGGACTTCTAATCTCAAAAACTATGTATCGCACTTTGTACAGATTTTGCCTACCTCGTCTAAAATTGCATGTAAATTTATTTTTACTTGCTTTGATGGGACCCCGACGGGTCTTTAGTAAAAATAATTGAATTTGAATTGAATTGAATTGAACAGACAGGAAAGAGGCAAGTAGAACACAACACTTTTTTGGTGGTAGCGACACACTGAAGGCTCCGCAACTGACGCTCTCCAGAACGAACGTTTATCTCCGCCACAAGCATACAGCCAACTTACGGTGACCTGTCTTGTGTACAGAATAAATCCGTTCTCACGACTTCCTGGCTTCTCTCATTAGACGGAGCAAAATTATTGTATGTGGTTAAGTTGATTTCACGTCCTTGATCCCTACAAGTGAAACCAACGCTATAGTCATCTGTGTTGCGAGGCCCCAGTGGGTCAAAATAACTTATTCGAAATCTACCGACCCATCTATTAATTGCGTGAACTTGATAGTCGTCTGGCGGATTCTCGATGGGTTACTTAGAAAATCCTGCTTGGGCACTCGGCCTACTGTGTCAGACTTGGTGGATTCCATAGGTTGCAGTAGGCCGGGTGGGTAACTTGACTCAAATGTGATTGGAACCACGGTTCCCGTTGGGGCCTCGTAATTCAGGGACTACATCGTTGATTGCAATAAGGCTGTTGTGAGTTCGAATCCCACCGAGGTTACCGATTTTTTCACACTTGGGTCAAAGTAAATTATTATCAACACAAACTGGCCCCTGCTCATAGTTGCTTATTCGTTCCGAGAATCATCAGGAGACTTTTTAAAAGTTACTTTAACGGTATCCACAGGAGTGTTCAATAAGGTAAGTATTATTATTAAAAACTCACAATTTGGACTTAGACCAAAAGGCGATGGAATAACTGAGGAGGGACTAAGAGTGAGATGCGTCCAATCCACTGGAGTTAGGACGTCGACTTATGGAAGGCGAGAGCTATAAATAAGGCCAAACAGGAGACAACGGACGGTTTATGATCTTCCAATCCATAAAGATTTAATGTTGATTAATTCATACCTCCCGGTATAAAGAATGATGGATCCAACGCGAAAGAATTGTAAAGATCAGCTCCCAATCACTGGGGTGGTACATGTATTAGCCTGAGCTTTTGGTCTTGTTTACGAGGCCGTCGTCAAAGACTGTGAGTATGCAACATCATATGGGCAGTTTTGTAGTCAAACAAAGAGGGGGTAGGGGGGAGGGGGTGGTATTCGCTATAAGACAGAAAAAAACTGCGACAGGTGAAACCAACTACTATGATACTGGCCTGGTTCCGAGGATTACCCAAAATCCACGAGCCCAACGTCCTCTTTCGTCCAATCCTTGCCTTGATAGGCAGCCCCGCTTACAGTCTATTTTAATGAATGTCCCGTAAACTGAACTTTTTCTGAGTGGGTTCGAGGACTTATATCTGAATTTCCTGACCGCATACAGGCCGTTCAACTTAACTTCAGAGGCGATGTTTGGGCTAGTTAAAGAAGTGGCCCAAAAACAAGAGACACTGATATGCGGAGACTTCAACGCCCTGATGGTCGACTGGAAACATTTATTTGTAAACGTTACGCGCAAATCCTTTGATTCCAAGCCTTTAAAACTAATAAATAGTCTCTTCTTCGTACAGAATGTCACGTTTGAAATCATAACTAGAGAGGTCCAAAGGGCAAATTGTCTGGACGTCGTCCTTTACAAAAGATCTAATTAGTGCCGGCGAACCTAGGTCCATAGTACAACTCGGTAGGATTGACCATGTCATGCTGGTTTGGGAATACCGCTTATATAACCAACAAATGGAGACGACTGAGCCTTGGCTGAATTCCTGGCGAAGAAATTTTGATGCGATGAAAAGTGAATTATCAGTGGTGAACTGGCATAGCGTTCTTACCATCCCAAGGACAAATCGTCCTGTCCGATTAACTCGAGCTATAAGGGGGAGATAAACCGGGAGAATAAACTTTGGAGAAAGCATGTAACAACAAAACGAACTCTGCATTGTAAACAGTTTCACCGAAAGTGAAACGAAGTAAGATAGAATATCTGTAGAATATCCGTGAAACGCGAGTTATGGAATGGGCCGTTGATTGGCCAGAAGTACTCTGCAGCTACATGGACAGCATGTTAAAGAACGAAGAGACAGTCTCAGTGTTTAAAGGAGAAAACAATGAGGGCATTACCGAAAATGGCGATAGGGCCGAACACCTGAGTCGGTTTTTCGCATCTGTCCTCACTGTTAAAAGGAACTGTGATCAGGCTGAACTGCCTACTCGAATAAACGACGCAATGATGGAAGGTATCGACTTCACAGAAAAAGATACGAGGAAGGAAATTTCAGCTCTTAAAAAGTGTGAGTCTCCGGAATCGGGCCAAATTACGGTAAAGATTCTGAAGGAGGTGGCTTCTAAACTCGCTAGGCCTGTCTTGTATACACTCCAGTCGTTCTTTGACCAAGGCATTCTCCCCTTTGATTGGAAGGTGACGAATATATATCCCATTCACAACGGTGGATCCAGAACAAGTGCAAGAGCTTACCGTGCATTTGTCTCAAAGTCATGGAAAGAACATTCGAAAGGCTATTATGAAGTTCCTTGAAGAAAGGGGTTTCTTTGATAATGCCCAACATGGATTTCGGTGAAATCTTTCCTGTTTAAGAAATATACTCTATTCAATGCAGCAGTGGTCCCGCTCGTTGGACGAAGATACTGGGGTCTATTTCGCTAATATCAACTTTAAGAAAGCCTTTGACAATGCTCCACGCAGACGCTTACCGCTCGAATTCCGAGAGGCGTGGATAAAGGGAAACCTGTTGAACTGGGTAGAGAACTTCTCGACCGGCCGATCGCAGTCTCTGTGCGTTGCCAGTTAGAAATCAACGTCAGTGCCGGTTCTGGGTGGAGCATCTCAAGGTTCTCTGCTCGAACCAGTACTGTATGAATGGTCTGGATAACAAAGGAGTCATGTTTACTGATGACATCAAATTGTAGTGGACAATTAACTGCAAGAATGATAAAGAGACCATAGAAGAGAGACTTAAATGTCTACGGGAATAGTCCGATTAATGGATGCTAAAGTTTAACCTTAAAAAGTATGTCTCACTGGCGACTGAAGACAAATGGGAGAGCAAATGAA